CTCCCTTTTAACTTAAAAGTCACTCTCCACCCAGTGATGTTTATATTTAAAAGCAGGTCACAGGAAGAGGGAATTCCTTTTTTTTTCTTTTTGAGAGAGAGAAAGAACACATGCATGCGAGTGGAGAGAGGCAGAGGAAGAAGGAGAGAGAAAATTTTAAGTAGGCTCCATGCCCAGTGCAGAGCTAGACTCAGGGCTCGATCCCATGACCATGAGGTCATGACCTGAGCTGAAACCAAGAGTAGAGTATTTAACTGACTGAGCCACCCAGGCACCGCAGGAAATACTTCTCAAAAGGGAAAAACCTTAATGCATTGAGTTAGGCATCATATCAGAAGTCATCTACTCCTTAAGTTCACAGAGCTAGTTAATGACTGAGTTGGGGCTACCTAAAGGTCTCCTGATATTCCGCCCTCCCCTCTTCCCCCCAGCCGTCTTCCTTTTTCTCACTAATGGGTGGAATTCTGGACATCAGAGAGAGAAGCATGTGTGTAGTTTTCATGCTGGTGACTTTCCTTTCCTGCCTGTAATCATACTACATACCCCTGAGTCTTTATTAAATGCACTCTGGTGGTGCAGAAATTGGGGCTCTAACTATAACACTAAAAAAAGCACACTCTGGATAAAGACTTCATAAAATGAGGAGAGAACACTAGGGGAAAAGTATAAGTTTTTTTCTTTCTCCTCTCTAGTTACAAAAAAAGAAAAAGAAGAAAAAAGAAAGAAAGAAAAACCCCTCAGCCAACCAACCAAACAAAACCAAAAAATTCCAGCAAGAGGCATAAATCATTTTAGGGTATGAAACACTATAAAAGCGAGGAGTTTGATTTTCTGGGCTGATTCGCCTCAGCTGCTATGACAGGCAGTGAGAATTGAGAAATGGCCCTTGTGAGAACTGTATTATGAATATGTGCCTTGGATTTTAATGTTGTCAGTTGGAAAAAACGGCTTTTAAGAATAAGATAAAGGAGCGTAGTTTAGTAGGAAATGTAAAAACACAATCTGTCTTGAATGTTAAAACTCCCCAAAGGGTCAGACCTACCCCTGCTCAGTGAGGCATCTCAGAATGCACCCCATCTATTACATTGAGAGCTTTCCCTCTTCAGGAAGGAGAGATATGAAGCTGTCCCCAAACTTATTGGTCACTATCCACCATCAAAACCAGAGGGTTAAATACTTTCCCAGCTTCCCTGAAGTGCAGAGTCCTATTGCTTAAAGAGATATTTGATCTTTATTCTACAATGAGGATCTTGGGTGATTCTGACTTGGGGACATCCAGAAATAAACTTGACCCCTATCTGCAAGAAAAAGACAGAAAGAAAGTATGCAAAGTACAAAGAAAAGTGGTTTCTGTCAAAGTCAGTTGGGTATCAAACACTTAGAATTCATAAATAATCCAGAATCGCACTTGTGGGATAGGCGTGCCGTGAGGGACTGAAATAATGATGGAAGTCTTTAGGTTCAGAAACATAAAACATGGGAGTAAAGGAAAGACCCCTTGCATCTGAGAGGCAACAGAGCTTCATCGAAAGAGGACAGGCTCTGAGATACTGACTTGTGCGTTACTTGATTATAATCCTCAGTTCCTCATCTGTTCCTCAGCTGTAAAGTACAGATCATAATTGTAAGTATTCACAAGTTTATTACAAAGATTAAACAGGATAATACACGTAAAATGGCTGAATTAGACTAAGTACCCAATAAAAGTTTTTTTGATGTTCTTATTGTTTTTCCCTGAAGACTAGAGTTCACATTGCTTTTACTCCTGCTTATATTTGTTGCAAGAAACAGTCCAGCAATTTCTTCTATCTTGCTCATATAAAAATAAAGGGAAACCTCTCTAACATGGAATCAGGAGGCTAGAAGGAGTCTTGCCATTCCATGCCAATCACAAGAAGAATTGTCAATTATAGACCCCAGCAGAAGAATCACCAGCAGGAAGGAATCATCAATTATAGGCCCCAACAGAGAAAGATGTACATTGCATTACCACAAGAAATCAATTCCCCCCTGCAGTTCAGCCAATGAGAAACTCTTGCTTTTCTCCAACAAACTTTTGTTCAAAATAACCCCTCCCAATTTCCTTATCCTTCTCTGTTAAATAACATCCCAGAAACCACTTCTGTTCTACTCCCAGACCCTGTGTTTTTGGGTAGGATTATCCTAACACCCAGCTCCAGGATGTGTAGCCGACATGACCATTCCCTAAACAGGCTGGTTAGTTTAAAACTGGGCAGATGACCCAAAATGGGCCAATCATTTTGCTAGATTCCTTAGGAAAGCAAGAACTGCTAACCTATTAGAGTCTGAGTCTAGAGGTACTAGCAGTCACCAGAGGGTAAAGGCTGCATGGGAATGGAATCAGCACAAAGGAACGCAGAACTGAGAGATGGAGGTGGTTCTTTAATAGGATGTTTGAACTTCTGGGTCCAGCTATAATAAAAGACCTACACATGTACCCTTTACTGTTTTATAAGCCAAATGAAACATTTTTCTTGCTTAAGCCAGTTTGGATTGAGTTTCTGTCATTGTATTTGAAGTCTTGGTAAATAATCCTGTCCTAGAAAGAAATATGAAATAGACAGTGTCATCCAGTTACTCATTTCTATATTTTTTCCACATTTCCCCCTTCTCCTCTCGTATTCAGTGCCTTTATGCTTTCATCTTCCTATTTATTTTCTCATGGGAAACGATCTGATAATGTTTGTCCTTGATGCTACAGGGTGAATTTGTGTTACTGTGTTATTTTTCTTGGAATACTGACATTTGAGGCCTTACATTGTTTCCTACAATGAAAGGCTTTGTTCCTGCTAAATGAGTTTTGGCTTTAGATAAGTAGGTACGTCAAAATTAAGAGAAACATTAAAAATGTATCAACCAGGTAACAATGTGTAACTCTTGTTTGGATTCTAATTCAAACAAACCAATAGTTTAACAATAAATAATGATACAATCAGGGAAATTGAACATTGGATGTTTGGTATTCAGAAATAATTGTTAAAATACTTAGATATGATAATGCTAACATGGTAATTTTTAATATTTTTATTTATTTATTTATTTCTAGGAGAGAGAGAGAGAGAGACAGCATGAGCAGGGGAGGGTCAGAGAGAGAGGGAGACACAGACTCTGAAACAGGCTCCAGGCTCTGTGCTGGCAGTCAGCACAGAGCCCGATGTGGGGCTCGAACCCACGAACCGCAAGATCATGACCTAAGTGAAAGTCGGTCGCTTAACCGACTAAGCCACATTTTTAAAGAGTTTCTATCTTTAGGAGATAAATATGTAAATGTTTTTGGATGGAAAGATGCAATATTTGAGATTTGCTTCAACATATTCCAAGGGCCCCTGGGTGGCTCAGTTAGCTGAGCTTCCAACTCTAGATTTTGGCTCAATGAGTCCAGGGTTATGGGATTGAGTCCCTAGTAGGACTTTTCGCTGAGCGTGGAGCCTGCTTGGGATTCTCTCTATCTCTCTCTGTCTCTCCCACTGTTCCTCTTTCCCGTTTGCATGCTCGCTCTCTCTCTCTCTCTAAAAAGAAAATAATAATAAAAAATAAACAAAATATTCCAGTAGGTAAAAGGTAAGAGGACAGGAGGTACAGATGAAACAAAATTTGGGATAAGTTAATAATGGTTGAAGCTGGGGTGATGGGTTGACCACGGGCTTCATTATCTTATATTCTAACTTTATAAGTTTGAAATTTTCCATAAGAGATTTTTTTAAAGTAATAAGTAGAAATGGTCAAGGCTGCTACGTGCCTACCCAGAATCTACGCTCTCCTTCTCCTTTACAAGCAGAATCCCTACATGGTGGAGGATGCAATACAACGGTCTAAATTAAAAAATATATATTTTTAATGATTTTTTTTCTTCCAGTCTTGCTTGCAGATGTGAATCACCTGTGAAAAGCAGATAGAAGCCACTGGGTGTGGGTTCCATAAACGTTACCCTTGTCTCTTCTGCTACCTTAGACCAATACCTGAGGAAGGGAGTGTCAGGGTCATCTTGCTTACAGGCAGCCTGAAGGCCAGAATGCATGATGCTACGGATGGTGGTGCCAAAAGTTAGAAGGAATCTGGATCGTTGACGACTGTGGAGATGCCACACCAGCTCGGGGATACTTTCCCTTTTATTTCGACAGGGATAATTAACCTTTTTAATTTAATTATTATTTTTTTAAATGTTTTTAAATGTTTATTTATTATTGAGACAGAGAGAAACAGAGCATGAGCAGGGGAGGGTCAGAGAGAGAGGGAGACACAGAATCAGAAGCAGTTTCCAGGCTCTGAGCTGTCAGCACAGAGCCCGACGCGGGGCTCGAACCCACGAACCGCGAGATCATGACCTGAGCGGGTCAGACGCTTAACCGACTGAGCCACCCAGGCGCCCCAACCTTTTTAATTTTAAATTTGTAGTCGCCCAGTCTCTAAGTTCACACACTTGGGTGCTTTTTGGAGTTATCCGAAGTGCTTTTTAAAATATCAAGCCACAGGCCCGACTTCCAGAGTGCCTGATTTCAATGGGATTGGAATTTGTAAAAGCTGTCCCCTGGTGATTCTAATGCGCAGCCAACTTGGAGACTCATCACTGTTAGAGCCCGCGGCCCCTGGCTGGGCGGCGGCCAAAACAAGGTGACGTGACTGCCTGGGATCATTCCGAGTCGCCTGCACCAGGAGGAACACGGACCCGGGCAGCCTGGCGCTTCAAAGCCCACCCAGCCCCGCCCCGCCCCGGTCAGCCCCGCCCCGGTCAGCCCCGCCCCGCCCCGGTCAGCCCCGCCCCTGTCAGCCCCGCCCACCCCCGCCCACCCCCGCCCCCCGGTCAGCCCCGCCCCCCGGTCAGCCCCGCCCAGCTCAGGTCAGCCCCGCCCTTGCCCCGCCCAGCGGCGGCCCCGGAAGGCGCCGGAACTCGAACTGTTGCTAAACAGGCGTTCCGGGAGCGCCGAGGTGCGCCTGCGCGGCGCCGAATCCAGGCGGGCACTTTGAATTTCGCTCCCAGAGTCGCGTCTCGCGATCTTGGGCTTCCGGCAGAGACTCGGGGCTCCGCGGCTCTTAATTCCGCAGCGAGTGGTGCTTTGCTCCCGGACCCGAGCGAGGTTAGTGTCGGGGGCCGCGGCCTTGGGAGCAGGCGGAAGGTATTGCTGGGGCGGAGGGGGGCGGTCGGAGTGCGGGAGCGGGGCAGCCGGGCGGAGCCGGGGAGCCGGCCTTGTCCTTCCACCGCTCGGGTAGCTGGAGTGGATGCTTTCGAGCCTCTGTCCTACCCTCGGGAGTGAATGATTAACTGACTCCCTTCCTTCCCTTCCCTCTGCCTCTTTATCGACTCCAAACCGTAAAGCGCCGGACCCCCCGCAGCATGGAAGAAATGCTTACTTGGACCTGTTTCTGTGCACTCAGCTGCGTTTTTTTCTTAAAATGCATGTGTACTTTGCATGTTTAAAGAAAAGATCAACGTTGTCTTTATAAATAGGACATTTGTCCCCCTAAATTCCCTGTACCTTGGTTTGGGGTGCGCTGATTACAGAAGGCTCAGAGAGAGGTACTGGACTTTGGTTAGAAACTGAATTTTGGAAAATTAAAAGAAATTGAGTTTTTGTACTTTCTTTTCAAGGAGGTGTGAGTTCTTGGGTATTTGCCATTATTGGATTTTGGAAGTGAACAGAAATTTGGCCTATTTTTTTGGTAAATGTGTTGTTTATTTGTTTCTTCAGAGGCTTAAAGGATGGCCTCCTCAGACCTGGAACAGTTATGCTCTCATATTAACGAAAAGATTGGCAATATTAAAAGAATGCTGTCTTTAAGAAACTGTGGTAAGTAGAACAGATTCCGCTGACGTTATACAGACACAATGCATTTTAATGTTCCATTTTCAATATTTTATACCTACCTGGTTAAGTGAAAGGTAAGCGGTTTTTTGAGTAGTGGTTTTGTGAAGCACTCCAGCATTAATATTTTGAATATTGCAGAGTACCAAAATGCCAATTATATTGAACCATGAACTGCATATTAATTAGACTTAATTGTTTATGTTTTTTTGAGATACACAAGGCACAATAGTAAGATTTGAAGGTCATGGGGCATATGTGGTTCTAAAGCTAAACAGAGATACTGAAAGGTAAGGGAGAAAAATAGAAGTGGAAGAGACCCATAGAGGTAGAAATAGCCCATAACCCATCTCACGACCTGCTTCAGAGAAAGCTTATCAGTATGTATGACTAGGAAATGATTGAAAATGTCCAGGTTTTTAAGGTCAGGAAGCTTGGAGGTTGCAAGCATCTTCCAGAATGTTTTGAAGTGCTGAAAGAAGACGTGGCAGGGACAGTGCAAAGAAATAGGTGATCTTTGTCAAGTCTGGGACCATGTTGTTTACAAAAATCATGAGCTCCCCAGTCCACTCTGGGAAGGTGTTCAGTGTTGGCAGAATTCTATCTGCTGGGACCATCGTGGTGAACTTTTCCGTTGTACAAACAAATCCGTAGTTTGTACTATGGATTGATAATTTAAACTGCTTGTTTGGTTTGTGTGTGTGTGTTTTGTTTTGCTTTGTTTGTTTCTTTTTTGAGGGAGATTGAGAGAGAAAATCTTAAGCAGGCTCCAGATCAGAGAGAGAGAGAGAGAATCTTAAGCAGGCTCCAAATCAGCGCGGAGCCTGACTCAGGGCTAAGTCTTAGGACCATGAGATCATAACCTGAGCCAAAATCAAGAGTTGGTCACTTAACTGAGGTTCTCTTTTTGAGAACCCCTAAGAAAGGAGCATTATTTATTATACAGTTTATGGCACTCACATACTCTGTAGAAAGTTAAAGGTGTAGGGAGTATGGGTTCATCTCCAGTTCCCTCATTTCACACATGACTCTCAGAAGTCAAGTGACTTGCCTGGTCCCCTAGCTCATGGGTAGCTGGTTGGAACTACAGTTTTGTACCTTCATCCCCAGGCTAATATTCTTTCTACTTCTGTGACACTTTTATTGAAAAACCTAAAAAGGATGTCTAGAATTTTATTTATTTTTTATTATTTTTTTTTAAAACTTTTTGAGAGAGAGAGAGAGAGAGAGAGACAGCGTGAGCAGGGGAGGGTCAGAGAGAGAGGGAGATACAGACTCTGAAATAGGCTCCAGGCTCTGAGCCGGCAGTCAGCACACAGCCCGACGCGGGGCTCGAACCCATGAACCGCGAGATCATGACCCAAGCGAAAGTCGGACGCTTAACCGACTAAGCCACCCAGGTGCCCCAGCAGGCTCCAAGTTCTGAGCTGTCAGAGCCCTACACAGGGCTCGAACTCATGAACTGTGAGATCACCACCTGAGCCAAAGTCAGATGCTTAACCGACTGAGCCAACCAGGTGTGCCAGGATGTCTAGAATTTTAATAACTAGCCTTGTGTAGAATCTCTTTCTAGGGGAATGATTACTGTGGAATAAACATATACAATTTGGAGATCTGTGAAACTATTAAACCTTGAGTTCAAAAGACCCCACCAACACATGAGTCCTGGCTGAAGCAATGTGACCTATTAGATTAGTACACATTGGGTCACATCATGTGCATGTGGGAAGGATAATTTGACTGGTTCCATGGCTTATTTAATAGAACCCAGTAATTTGTTTGCCACTCAGTTTTTGGCTGCTGTAATATACTAGATTACTACTATCAAAAGTAGTGTATTCGCTTGTTGATTATATTTCTACAAATCAGTAGACAAGGCCCTAAAATTTAGGTAACTAAACGTTAGTGGAGATACCAGTGTATCGGAACTAGTTATTTAACCCCCTGAAATTAATCTTGATAGAGACATCAGTACTCTGATTTACTTCTTAATTTCTTTTAGTTGTTACAAACCTGTCAAATTCTATTAACATTGCTCTATAAATAGAATTATATGTTGCTTGTCACTATGATGATCAGTAGGAGTTAGCATTTACTGAATGTTTTGCTAGGTTCCAGGTACAGTGTTCAAACTCATCTTACATGTACTTTTTCACTTATCTTCATAGTAATCTTGAGGAGGTAGGTACTGGTGTCTCTAACTTTAGGCTTTGGACCTTCTGGCTATTTCACTCTTCTGCTTCCATAATCTACAGATAGGGTCAAATTATACTTTTGTTTATTTTTTTCCTGCCTCTCTAATTATACTTTGGTTTATGTGTATTTCATTGGTCACTAGAAATAAAATGGAAAGATTTGATTATGAGAATAGTTTTTCTTTTGTGCTTTTGATCTATTAAAAAATTTTTTTTGGATTGCTTTTATTTCTAGGGAGGAGGAGACTCTGGCTTTCCCATCCTCAACTCTACAGAGCTAGAGAAAGGTGCCAGGAGGTGGGGTTAGGAATATGAGAGCATGCTACTTTACAGATGTCTGGTGTTTGTTCCTTTCAAATACCCCAGACTGATTACTGGCCTGTGACTTAATATATTACTTTTTCTGCTTAGTGAATAGTGTGGATAGTGTAAATATGAATTTTAAACCCAAGTGAATCCCAAGCCACTATTACAAATTCTGAAGAGAAACTCACCTCCAACTTCCACATACCCCTGAGGGCCAGTCTATATCATAAGCTTCTCTCCCTGGTCAGTGATTAGAATTCTGAGGTTTATACTTTCACTGAAGATATATCCCATGAAGAAGCCTCATTTGGGATTCTGACTTCTAACATCCTGTGCTTTGAAGTCCCAAAGCCTTGACTGGCAACCTCCTCTTACCAGGTTCCTCTGCACCCCCAATCAGGGCTGCTGCGATATTAACTCACTCACACTGCCTAGTCTGTGCATCTGTCTTCATGTTGAAGCCCTTGGGGATTTACCTTATTCTCATGAAAGCTCAGCTATTCATGTAAAATGGTGTCTCTTTTATCTAGCATTTCTAGGCCTTTTATTATAGTGGAGGAATTTGCCAGAAACAAAAGACTCAGGGGACACTTTACCTCTCCCTTCCTTCTCTTCCAGTTACTTAGAAATGATGGGGCACCTGAATCATTCAGTCGGTTAAGTGTCCAACTTTGGCTCAGGTCATGATCTCGCGGTTCGTGAGTTTGAGCCCCATCTCCAGCTCTGTGCTGACAGCTCAGAGCCTGGAGCCTACTTCAGATTCTGTCTCCCTCTCTGTCCCTCCCCTGCTCACACTCTTTGTCTCTCTCTGTCTCAATAAGAAACACCAATTGCTTAGAAAGGTCTTAAGATTATCCATGGAGACAGGTCCTAGGGCTGAAACAAGTCCTTTCTCTTCCCCTAACCATCTGTATCTAAAGTAAAGCTCTGATCCAAGAGTTTAATTGGGTACAATTGAGTTAAAGAGTACAGTTATGTTCATTGTTTTCTATGTTTTATTTGCCATTTTATATTTGTTTATTAATAGGTCAGGAACCTACCTTGAAGACTACATTAGATAAAATAGGAGATGAGATCATTGTAGTAAATGAACTTCTAAATAAATTGGAATTGGAAATTCAGTATCAAGAACAAACCAACCATTCACTCAAGGTAATGTTTTTTCAGTAAAGAAACAAAAGGGCAATAAATTCCCTAATCCCCAGGGAATTCTGAAGGCTACTCTAAAAGGTTCTTAGCTTTGTAAATTATTATTAATGGTAGAGAGTGCCATCTGCATTATATTCATATAAAGGACTCCGGAGATCCACAGGCGTTTCTTTCTTTGCACTGGTAGCCAATGAAATTGAACTTTACTAAAAAGGAAGATTTCCCAAATAATTCTTGGTAGGTTTAATTGAAACAAACGATCTGGTAGAATGGTGTGGAAGGAGTACCTGGCCTGGGGTGAGGACATGCGGATTCTCACTCTGGGTGCCCAGAGCACCCTCTGCCACCCTGAGAAAGCCGTCTTACCTTTTGGGGTCTTGGGGGCCTCATGTGGAAATTAATTAGTCATACTTAACTATTTCTTAGGTTCCTTCCATTCTGCAGTTTTCTGTTCTATAAAATATAAGGATTCTCAAAAAAAAGCTTGAGCCGTATTCACACACCATTTTGTTTCAAATGAGCTTTCTTTTTTTTTTTTAAATTTTTTTTTAAAATTTTTTCATGTTTTTTATTTATTTCTAGGAGAGAGAGAGAGAGAGAGACAGCGTGAGCAGGGGAGAATCAGAGAGAGAGGGAGTCACAGACTCTGAAACAGGCTCCAGGCTCTGAGCTGGCAGTCAGCACAGAGCCCGACGTGGGGCTTGAACCCACAAACCGCGAGATCATGACCTAAGCGAAAGTTGGACGCTTAACCGACTAAGCCACCCAGGCGCCCCCGAAATGAGCTTTCTAATTGATGAAGCTAGTAAAGTGCTAGTGTACTTCTGGGAAAATACTCAGTCTGTCCATCGTTGCCTCAAGCTTTGAGAGCCATTGAGGTGTTCAGTGGGAGTGAACAAGGTGGCCTCTACGGACCCTTTCAGCCTCATAATCCTTAAGATCTGTGAAGATTTTTCATAAGAATGGGCATGAATATACCTATACTATTAGTTGAAATGAAATTAGTGGCTGTGAGCATCATTTGGCTCTTTGAAAGAAAGGTGTCCTGCAAATTCAAAACAGAAGGCAATATTGGTTTCAGTTCTAATCTGCCTAGAAGTACCCAGAGTTAAGTGTGTGCCTAGGGAATGTTAAGTTTAGAAGTGAAGTCTGCATAGAATTTTTGTTCATATTATGATTGAGGATCAGATGACAGGTCTCCAAAGGCACAGAGTAGTTTTCTTACTACATTTGCATGAGTTCATAGCCTCAAGTTCTAGTGAAAGGTAAAATAAAGATGACACAGAACAAAACCATGTGATCATGACCCAGTGGAAATTTCCATGAAGCTAGAGAATTGTGTAGGCCAGCTGTGGAAGTCGTTCCACGTAGCTTCTTGCATGTACGTTCCAGGCGTGCATTGTCACCCTGATGGTGCTACACAGCTCACACTGGGGAGTGCTTGTTAAGTCAACAAAAGCAATTTACTGGAATGACAAACATAAATCCTTCATGCATTTTTTAGTTGCTTGCCAAGATTGAAGTTAAATGTCAACCCTAGCTGTTGTAATGTGATTATAGCAGTTATTCTCTGGAAAAAAAAATCCAGTAGAGAAAGATATTATGTTGCTATCCAAAAACAGATCTAGAGACCAGAGTCTTCTTAAAAAATGTATTGCCGCAGTGAAAAAAATACGGTTGTGGCCGGTGCCCTTCTACCTCTTCTGCGTTCTTTTTTTTTTTTTTTTTAATATTTTTTATTTATTTCTAGGAGAGAGAGAGAGAGACAGTGTGAACAGGGGAAGGTCAGAGAGAGAGGGAGATACAGACTCCGAAACAGGCTCCAGGCTCTGAGCCGGCAGTCAGCACAGAGCCCGACGTGGGGCTCGAACCCACCAACCGCGAGATCATGACCTAAGCGAAAGTCGGACGCTTAACCGACTAAGCCACCCAGGCGCCCCTCTTCTGCGTTCTTAATACTCCCAGTCATTGTGATTGTGGTTGAGTCTTTTGTGCTCTTTATAATGTCTTAAAACACACTCAGGCAGGATAGCCGCTCATTGGGGACCCTTTTTTAAATTCTAGGAACTCTGTGAATCTCTCGAAGAGGATTATAAAGATGTGGAACATCTCAAAGAAAACATTCCTCCCCATTTGCCTCAAGTAACAGTAAGCCAGAACTTGTAAGTGTTTGTAATTATTCTTGCTATCTGCGTGTATAAAACTTTTAAACACCTCGGCTCTTTTTTGTGTTTTCATGTACTTGTGAGTTTGTTAGTGATTATGTTAGTGTTAGTGTTGTCACTTACAGTAGAAATAGTGTTTCTCTTTGTCTACCCCAGTCTTACCCTGCTGCCTCTGGACGATGTCACCCCTCTTTCCCTACTTTTTCTCATTTCTTTCCCTTAGAGCAGAGTTTGTCAACCTTGGCTCTGTTGCCTTCTTGATTTAGATAATTATTTTGAGGACAGTGATGTTTAGTAGCACCCCTGATCTCTACCTACCAACTACATGTCAGTGGCGTCCTCATCGTCGCCGCCCCATTGTGACAACGAGAAATGTCTGCAGACATTGCCATATGTCCTCTGGGGGACAGTCTCTGCCCTGACCCTTGAGAACCACTGGTTTAGAGTAAAAATAAGATTAATAAATGTCCCATCTTAAAAACAGCCAAAGGAACCAAACACTCGGCTTTGCTTTCCCCCTCCAGCCTGTGTCCCCAGTGTGGTCCCCGCCAGTATGTGCTTGTGCCCTCCCCTCCCCCCCTTTTCCACAGAGCCCCTGCGCCGGTCTCTGGGCTGCTATCACTACCACACTTAGGAAACTCATCAAGAAATCCCCCTTTCAGCCCTGATTCTTTTCAGATATTATCTCGCTGTCTGTCTGTTTCTGGAATTCTTTTCTGCTCTGCCACAGTGCTTCCTTGTCATCCCGCGTCTGGCTGGCTTGCCCTACTTCAAATTACGCATGTCTCCTAAAGCTAAATGGTGCTCACACTTACCTTACGCCACTGTTAATGCTCTCAGATGTCCAGCTCCAGCCTTGACGTCACCTCTGGTTCTGCTGTTTTAATTGCTTGCTGGGAGCTTGATAAATGAGCTATTCTTTTCAACTCTGTGTGTCTGAGACTCAACCGACTGGTTCAGACTGGTTCCTTGTTAACCACCCGTCATGCCTGCTGCCTCCCACCCATCACCGGGCCGGAGGAACTCCGTGCCTCCAGCCTGTCTTGCTCTCTGCAGCCCTCAGCCAGGCTGCTGTCTCTGCAGGATTTTGTCTGTCCCTGCCCTCTCTTCCACTCTCATCGCCTGGCTCTCCAGGCCATCTCCCATCATCGCTGGTCTGTGTGATTTGAGAGCTCCTGTGTTTTTTGCCTTTGCAGGGGGATCCACCACCCCCACCTCTTTAGGCTTCTGGGTTCTTCTTCCAGGGTTCCAAGTATATAAAAACCATGCCGTGGATAACTTAAAATTTTTTAACTTTTGAAATATATATATGTACATACACACAGAAAAATGACTAAAGCATTATTTGTGCAAATTAGAGTAATAAACAAACATCAGTGTATGTACCAGTCAGATTAAGAAATAGGATATTCCTGGTGCCTTACAACCCTTCTTCCCCTGCAGACCCTTCCTCTGTCAGAGAGGTAGTCATCCTGGCATTTATGATAATCACTCCTACGGGTGTGTTTCCATAAACAACATACTGTTTAACTTTGAAAAGAAAAACTTAAAGGAAGGCACGAGCCTCGCTGTATAGGGTAAGAGGCACATTTCTGCTGATGGCTGGAGTTCTCATGCTCAGCAGAGTGCCTGGCATGGTCAGGGTTCCCTGTGATTTCCCTACAAGAAGAAAGTCATGGGCAAGGTCACGAATGGATGCTAGGACTAGAGACCATCATAGGAGACTCGCCAGGATTGTAGTGTGGGCTGGATGGTGGTATCCAGCAGGAATATGGCCCGGAGAATAGGAGGAGGTTTCTTCTTCCGACTTCACTGTGGCTTAGTTTCAGTTTTTAGCCAAGGTCAAAGCAGAACCTTTCCGTAGGTAGAAATGGTTCTTTTCAGCTGATACTCCCAGCAGGGCATGAAGGAGAAATCACGAGCTTCCTTAGCACCTGGTGAAGACAGACAAGTACAGAGAAGAATCAGCCAGGCTCACTGTGAAGTCTCATGTTAACTGAAGTTGATGGGAGCACAGCATTGGGAGGCTTCACCTTGACAGCCGCCAACATGGCCATCCTCAGTCATACCACCTCAGTAAGGCCTGGTTGCCCTGTGTCTGGTGCCCTGCTGTCATCTTGGGACCTCACTTCCCTGTCTTTTTTGGGGTTCCCTTCACTGGCTCCTGGGTTCGATCTACTCTTTCCTGTATCCCATTTCTTTTCTGGAGCTGTCGAGCCAGTATGGCTTCATTTGCTCCTGGAAACAAGGTTCTGTTCCTTCCCTGGCAGCTAAATAACCCAGAAGCTACAGCCTGTTTCTAGATTCTTCGCTAGTGGGGTAGGAGCTATATTGGGCTTCTCACTGACTCCAAAAATTGGGCAGGACTGAATCCAAGAGTTCCATGCTCATGGCTTGCAAATAAAATGAGTCTGCAACAGGCAGGGACTGATACCAGCAACCAATGGGATAAATTAGAAAAATAGAAGGAGATGATTGATGCTTCTACATCTAGAAACAAGGAGTCAGGAAGAGAATCTGTTGAGAGGTTAAGTTCAGCTTTGCACATACTGACTTTGAGGAGCCAGAGGAATAACTGGTGAAGATGGCTGGCATATGTACTGCATGCACCATGTTTTGGGTATGTAAATATAATTCTATTACTGAAGATTTGGGAACTTAATTTTTCAGTGGTCTCTTCACTATTCAGATCTTCATGAACATAGAAGTAGGGGCAGCAAAAAATGACTATAAAATTATCACAAGATGAATCTTGTATTTGTTATTGAGTATTTTCAGTTGGGAAAACTTGCTGGTATTCTGCAGAATTCTGATAATCACTTGTACATCTGTGCATCTCTGTTCCTTAGTGTTAATGCGTCAGATGTTGACCCTGAAGAACCAGTCAAAGTTGAGGAACCTGCACCCACAAAGAAGCCCCCAAAAGAACAAAGAAGTATTAAAGAAATGCCATTTATAACTTCCGATGAGTTTAATGGCATTCCAGCGTAAGTATTTAAGATAAATGTTAACATTCAACTCTTGGTCAACATACATGATTGTTTAAATCATAAAGCTTGATTATATTCATAGTCTGCTGTGTTCAAATATTGATATTTTCTAAAATAGTCTTAACATTGTGCTATGAAAATGCAGGAAGTCTTTTGAAGATGCTTAAAATCATGTTTTTTATTTAGTTGTCAGATCTCTTTTCATAGCGAGACCTAGCGATGGGTCAGTCTGTTGAGTTCCAGGACCATTTTGTGATAGAGATTTATCCAGTTACATTTTAATTATTTATTTTTGAAGGAGAGAGAGATAGAGCATGAGCGGGGGAAGAGCAGAGAGAGAGGGAGACCCAGAATTGGAAGCAGGCTCCAGGCTCCAAGCTGTCAGCACAGAGCCTGAGGCGGGACTCGAACTCAGAAACTATGAGATCATGACCTGAGCCGAAGTTGGATGCCTAACCGGCTGAGCCACCAAGGCCCCTCTATTCAGTTCCATTTTAGAAGTAGCCTCAGTTTTGCTGTACTTTTAAGGAAGGTGTGTTGTATGGGTTTGAGAATTAGAACGGCAAGTGTTGTGTTTGCTTTCCTTTTGTTTTTTACCTTATGCCCCACACTCGTTCTGGGCCATGGGTCACTGAGAAGAATACAGGGGCAAGTGAGACCAGATAATGTCCCTGGTGGGAGGTCTTCTTTGCTCTTTACAGAAGACAGTAATGGAGAGCCCGTCATGCTAACTCAGGTTTTTAAACTCTTGTAACTCCAGGGCTTTGCTTAATGTCTTGGCTTGATATTGTTGCATTTCTATTATATAAATAATACGTGTTAGGAAAATAACTCCATTGTAATTCTGCCACCCGGATATTTATTTAATTTCACGTATGTAATAGGTTGCTCCTGATCATTATGACAACAATGTACTTATACAGGAAATACAGTTTACTTTCTTTTTTATCATGAGCATTTTGCCATTGTTACCTATTCTTGTAAACTTGGGTGTTAATAGTTGTATTATATGTCATCAAAATGAGACTGACCGTTCTCTTCAATTTCTATTTTTTTGTCAGTCATTTCTCTTTATGATCGCTTTATTTTCATGATAATTCTGTTTGGTGCTATTCATTTTTTAGTTTGTTGTTATTTTTGTTGCTCATTAGCTGAGCTAAATGGAAAACCAAATGTCTGTGAGAACAGTGGGGTAGACGGGTTTTTAAAAATTGCTTCCATGAAGAGATGAAGGAAGGAAATCAGAATAGTCGTAGTATTTTTTTTTTTTTAATGTTTATTTTTGAGAGAGAGAGAGCAAGGGAGGGACAGAGAGAGAAGGAAACAGAAGATCCAAGCAGACTCTATGCTGTCAACACAGAGCCCAATGTGGGGCTCGAACTCACAAATTTTGAGATCATGACCTAAGCCATAGTCAGACGCTCAACTGACTGAGCCATCCAGGTGCCGCAGAGTATTCATTTTTATTTTTATTTTGTGTTTTTTTTCTTTTATAGTTTATTGTTAAGTTAGTTTCCATATAACACCCAGTGCTCATCCCAAGTGCCCTCCTTCATGCCTATCACCCATTTTCCCCTCTCCCCCACCCCCATCAACTCTCAGTTTGTTCTCAGTATTTAAGAGTCTCTCATGGTTTGCCTCCCTCCCTCTCCTTAACTATTTTTCCCCTTCCCCTCCCCCATGGTCCTCTGTTTGTTAAGTTTCTCCTGTTCCACATATGAGTGAAATCGTATGGTATCAGTCCTTCTTATTTCACTTAACATAACACCCTGCTACATCCACATTGCTACAAATGGCCAGATTCCATTCTTTCTCATGCCATGTAGTATCCCACTGTATATATAAACCACATCTTCTTGGTCCATTTGTCAGTTGATGGACATTTAGGCCCTTTCCATGATTTGGCTATTGTTGAGAGTGCTGCTGTGAACATTGGGGTACATGTGCTCCCATGCGTCTGCACTCCTGTGTCCTTTGGGTAAATTCCTAGCAGGGCTATTGCTGGGTTATAGGGGAGTTCTATTGTTAATTTTTTGAGGAACCTCCACACTGTTTTCCAGAGGGGCTGCACCAGTTTACATTCCCACCAACAGTGTAGGAGGGGGCCCGTTTCTCCACATTCTCGCCAGCATCTGTTGTCTCCTGACTTGTTCATTTTAGCCACAGAGTATTCATTTTTCACGGGAGCGGATATTTATTGAATGAGAGAACTTGGACGATTGGGGTAAGGAAGAATGTATTCCAAGCATGAGGCTTTTATTTATTTATCGTTAAAAAGCTAATTCTGAGGATGAAGTAAAAGTGGAGAACATGGGCAGAGGAGGGGGATAAATATTGAGGAAATTAAGGTGATAGTTCAGAGGATTTAAAGGAATTTCTTTGGGGAGAGGGAATAATTTGTGGGATCAATAGTTTGTGGGAATCGTGGTTAGAAACAACAACGGCAAAAATGAATTTAGAAAAGAGAATAATGAAAATGTGTTTTAATCAATATGAACATTTTCCTTTAAACATATTCATATATTATTTTATATTACATATGTTTGGTTAGAAATCTGCCCCCTTGGGGGCACCTGGGTGGCTCAGTTGGTTAAGGGTCTAACTTTGGTTCAGGTCATGATCTCGTGGTTTGTGGGTTCGAGCCCTGTGTCGGGCTCTGTGCTGACCGCTCAGAGCCTGGAGCCTGCTTTGGATTCTGTGTCTCCTTCTCTCTTTGCCCTTGCCCCACCTGCACTCTGTCTCTTGCTCTCAAAAATAAATGAACATTAAAAAAAAGAAAGAAATCTGCCCCATTGGAGAGAAGAGAAGGGCAGCATTTCACATAATGAATCCACAGTTTTTTGAAGGGAAAAATTGAGGCAGGTCATTGGGTTTTAGTTTTTGGTGCGTATGGAGAAATCAGGTCTCCTGTTTTTATATTCTAAGACTGTAGGTGACAGGGAGCACGGCAAGGGGAAGAGGGAAATGGAAGAGTGGATTTAGAGAAAGACCAGTGCTCAATGGGGTGGAACCCCAGAGCTATGCCCTGGCTCCTCTCCGCCTTTCGACTCCCAGACCTTCTCCTGCGCATTCGGCTCTCTGTCGTAATCAGAATTCCCATCTCTGTAGTGGCCTTTGTTGCCCATCTTCCTCCTCCTCCTCCCCTTTTCTTTCTTTCTCAGAGCAGGTAAGTTTGCAGAAAACTAGAGTGGTGTGAGTTATATATTTTGTTAATATTGAAATTTTTCTTTCCCTTGCTCACAAACATTTAAAAATGTTTAAATAAACCTCTGGCTTGCAATTAACCAGTTCATTTGAATCAGTATTTGAGATCTTATTTTAAATTGTAATATTGGTTCTGTAGGTAGAGAATGGAGATTAATGTATCTAGACATGAGTAGGGAAGATAAGCAACTGGTATGTTGTGGTGTCTCTTTAATTTTTTAACTATTGAGAGATGTGTGGTTTATTTGGAAGTTGATGTACTTTTTTTGGTATAAAGAGTTCTAATCACTGCTACTGTATAAAATCAGCATTAATGTTTTCAGAGAAAATGATTTTGCATAATGATTTTTTAAAAAATTAATCATATACTTATTTGCAGGTACATGAAATCCCGCTTAACCTATTGTCAAATTAATGATGTAATTAAAGAAATCAATAAGGCAGTAGTTAGTAAATATAAGATCCTGCATCAGCCAAAGAAGTCTATGAATTCCGTGGCCAGAAATCTATATCACAGATTTATTGATGAAGAAACAAAGGATACCAAAGGTAAATATGATAGCATACCTGTGTGTGCATGTCAACTGTTTGGAGTGTAACTAACTCATGAAAAACAACTTATTCTAGAAAATTCTGAGTCTAAAGAGGTAGTTCTCAGCCAGGAGCCGTTTTCCCACTTAGGAACATTTTTGGCATCTCTGGAGGTATTTTTGGTGGTTACAACCAGGGTTGGGAGTGCTACTGGCATCTAGAGACTACAGGTGCTATTAAAGTGCAGTGTACAACAGCTTTCACAGCAAAGAAGTGCCTGTAGTTCTGAGGCTGAGGAGCACGGCTTTAGAGTCTGTTATGAAACTATACCCAGTGTCTTCAGAATTAGAATAGAAATGAGAAGAGTTGGTCATGCTTACGTAGCACTTACCATGTGCCAGATGGTGTACTGAGAGCTTTCGTCCTTCCGTCTTAACAAGGTATGTACCCTTATACCCATTTTGCAGATTAGGCAAAGAGAACTGAAGATACTTGCCCAAGGTCAGCCAGTTAAGGGACAGAGCTGTGGGGGGTTTCATTCTCTCAACCACTACACTATATTCCCTCTTGAAAAGTGAACTACTGTTCAGAAGATACCAACAGATAGCTACATTTCTAAAATGCTACTGTAAACGTTGTGCAACTGCAGTTGAATAATGATTATTTTAGCAAGAATACCGCTTCTCACTCCACTTGCCTAATGATAGTAAAAATGATTGTTATTCATATTCACATTGAACCTCATTAAAGACTCATCTTGAAAGTTGTCCTCGTGAAAATTAGCATGAATATCTTTATTTTTCAGGTCATTATTTTATAGTGGAAGCGGACATAAAGGAGTTCACAGCTTTGAAAGCTGACAAGCGGTTTCATGTGATATTGAACATCTTACGACACTGCCGGAGGCTCTCAGAGGTCCGGGGGGGAGGCCTTACCCGATACGTTATAACCTGAAGTCCTCTTGAGCTTTAGCTGGTCCAGAGTAGGGCCTAGAGGCCACTCCTATAGTTTCCTTATGCGTAATTTCTTTATATATAACTTCTTTGCCTTTCTCATTTTCTTTTCTACTTGACTATAAAAATGAAACTTTTTAGTAAATAAAGCATATGTATTTTAAAATTCACTTTCTTTTTTTTTGAATATTTTTTCCAGATCTATTTTTTTTAAGTTTTCATTTATTTAAATAAATAAAATTTATTTATTTTAGAGGGAAGGTAGAGAGAGAGGGAGAGATAGAACCCCAAGCAGCCTCCATGCTGTCAGCACAGAGCCTGGCATAGGGCTTGGTCTCCCAAACCAAGGGAGATAGTGACCTAAGCTGAGATCAAGAGTCAGATACCTAACAGAGTGATCCATCCAGGTGCTCTTCTTCTTCTCTTTTTTTTTTTAAGTTTATTTATTTTGAGAGAGAGTACAGAGAGGCAGAGAGAGAGGGGGAGAGAGAGCATGCCAAGCAGGCTCCATGTTGTCGGCACAGAGCCCAGTGTGGGTCTTCATCCCATGAACCGTGAGATCATGACTTGAGCCGATATCAAGAGCTGGACGCTTAACTGAATGAGCCACCCAGGTGTCCCAGATTCATTTTTCCTTCAGCACATGGTTAACCCCTACCATACGAGCCTCTGTGCTAGGTATATAAAGGAACTAAAAAATGGTCAGGTTTCATTTTTGTGTTTAGTGACAGTGCTGTAGAACCCAATAAGACAGGTACAGACGTGATTAGGGAAGGAAAGGTCAAGAAGATAAGGTCAAGGGTACCCAGGCTCTTGAGAATTAAAGGTCTTGACTGTCAAAATTCTATCAGTGGCATCTCGGTGTATAGGCAAAAGCTGGGATTTGTAGGCAGCTTCTCCGTGTGATGATTCTGCTTTCCCATAAGTTGTTAGGGAAAAGCTTACCTGAAATACATTCAGTGTAAACCAATCTATAAACATCAGCCTGTAGTGATATTGTAATAAAAGTACATTGAGATGAAAATAATGATAAAATAATGTGTAAACAAGTCGAAAGTTGTCATGGAAAATGGGTGGTTGGATTGCAAGCATTTAGGATGTTTTTTTCTCTTCCACACTTGGGGAGACTGGCTATGTGTGTTTTAGTCAGTTCTCCAGAGTTCTGGAAGCAGTAGGATACACACACACACACAGACACACACACACACACACACACACACACACAGATTTATTATGAAAACTTGGTTCATGTGGTTATGGAGCCTGAGAAGTCCCCCAATCTGCTGTCTGCAAGTGGGAGACCCAAGAAAGCCAGAGTGTAATTCAGTCCAAGTCTGAAGGCCTGAGAACCTCATCTTGTGGCTCAAGCAGTGAGGCGGGAAAGAAGTGAATTCCTCCTTCACCTTTTGTTGTGTTCATGTCCTCCACGGATTGGATGGTACCCGCACACGAGTGGGGAGGACAGTCTACTGAGTCCTCTGATTCAAATGCTATTCCCTCCTGGAAACACCCTCAGATACACACCCAGAAATAAGGTTTCATGTGGGGACCCCGTGGCCAGTCAAGTTGACACATAAGTTAACCATCACAGTCCGCCATCTGCTTGGCAGGTCAATCCTTAAAAATCACCTCTCAGGCTTGGCCTGGTTAACACTGTCACTGTGGTGACCACAAAGTATATTATGGGCACTACAAAATATACTTTCTTCCTCCCTAACCTAAATGCAGATGTGTTTAATTTTTCATGTCTTGCTTTAAATAAAAATAGTGGCCTTATCTTTTACTTTGTTTAAAGTCTTGCTTGATTTTTCTCTATAAATCATTTTTCTCTATAAAAAACATTTTATCTGCTTGACATATCTCTCTTCCTGGAATTCATAGTGAACAACTGTCAATGTGTGTAATTCTTGTAGAATGGATACTGAGGGGAGTAGTTAGTCTCTATTTTAATCATTAGCATGTAATCAATTTGTTACATAAATTTGGGTGTACGTTTGATAAACTGTTCCTCGAAGAATAAAGACATTGATTTGGGGGCGCCTGGGTGGCTCAGTCGGTTAAGCGTCTGACCTTAGAGCTCAGGTCATGATCTCACAGTTCGTGAGTTCGACCCCTGTGTCAGGTCCTGCACTGACAGTGTGGAGCCTGCTTGGGATTCTCTCTCCCTCTCTCTGTTCCTCCCCTGTTTGTGCTCTCTTTCTCAAAATAAGCAAAAATAAAGCTCTGGGGGAAAAAGCATTTTTCAAACAAGTACTAACCCCTGTTACTTGAACTTCATTTTCAAAAAAAAAAAAAAATGACAGGCTTGTTCAACTTCCATATTTTTGAAAATAATATTTTTCTTTAAACGCCCTTCCTCTGCAGTCCATGGGCCCCATAGCATGGCTTTCCAGAAGTTTGGGCCCTGCCTCTTGGGCCACAGTTCTCTGCGTGGGGCCTGTGGCCTGGTTTCACACCTCCTGGCCCCACTGGTCCATGGGCCTGGGGAGGAGAGGGCCGGGCAGCAGAGACCCAGAACTTTGCTCAGGCTTCTATATGGAGATACTAATTTTTATCTGATAAAGTCTTTCACCTGTTCCTTTAAAACTTGTTTTAAGTTAGTTATTCATAGATAACACATTTTTCCCCCTTACATACCACAGTCTAGTTAAAAGTGTTCAGGGTATGTCCCAGCCTTGGTCCTGTTGCACCTCGCCTTAGGATACTGGGTCCGCTCGCACATTTCCTAACTCTATAGGTGTCTTTTGGCCTCATCCAACTTGTGTCTCTAGGTGTGGATCTGGTGTTTGTCTTGCTTGCTCAGACAAAGGGGGAAGTTTAAGTGAAGAGATCTAGCTGTCACTTCTTGTAGCAGAATGTGGTTTCCAAAGATGGATGGATGGGGTAATTCCATATTCCATCCCACATACTCCTTCAATGTGTTATCAACACTTCCATCAAGAGGCAGATCCTTGTTCCCTCCCTTTGAATCTGGACATATCTTTGTAGCTTCAGCCAATAGAATGGAGAGGAAATGCCACTGCATGATTTCCAAGCTAGCTATTAAAGACAATGAATTCCATCTGTCTCTTTCTTGGGATGCTTGCCTTTGGAACCTTGTCACCATGTTGGGAGAAACCCAAGGCTACATGGAGAGGTCACATTAACTGCCAGCACCACCAGTCATGTGAACAAATGATTCCAGCCCCCAGTGATTTTTGCTGAGGCCCCAGGCATCAAGGAGCCAAGACAAGCTGCCTCCTACTGTGCTCTGAGTGAACTCAGGACTTGGCAGAAATCATGAAAAATAAATTATAGTGGTTTAAAGACACTATGGTTATTTTTCTTTTTTCTTTTTTTTTCTTTTGCATAATTGATCGTGCAAGAGATAATGAAACTATTAGTCTGAAATTGCACTACAACTGTTAGAAAGGAAAGGCAATAAGTGGGCTCATGGTAATTAAGTTAAACCTGCATTAGAAATGAAAATCTGTCCCCATGAATTACCTGTAGAGGGTGTGTCCTGTCTAACCTTATTTGAAAACGTGCAAGTTCATTAAAAGTGACATTTTTCAGATATCAAGCTTATATACATATATCATTTCTCCATCCATAACTAAGATGCAAATACATTGCTTTGTGTATAAACATAACAATACTTACACCCAGCCTAATTCAAGAAACCCATATCTTCACACACATGAAAAGATACTCATCATTAGGCATCAGGGAAATACAAATCAAAACCACAATGAGGTATCACCTGACACCCACCAGACGGCTAGAATACAAAAGACAAGAAGTAAGTGTTGGCGAGAAAAGGGAGCTATTGTGCTCTGTCGGTGGGAATGTAAATTTGTATGGCAACTCTGGAAAACAGTATGGAGGTTCCTCTAATTAAAAATAGGAATACCATATGATCCAGTAATTCCACTACTGGATATTTACCCAAAGGAAATAAAAACACTAGTTCACAGAGGTGTACGCACCCCACGGTTTACTGCAGCACTATTTACAACAGCCAAGACATGGAAGGGACCGAAGTGTCCATTGACAAGTGAATAAAGACGTGAGATACCAATCAAGGTTCATGGTTTATACCTGGTTATGCTCTTAAGTCTTTTTAAATCTAGAACAGGATCCATGTGTTGTTTTGGTTTTTGTTTCTGTTACTGACTTGTTTTTTTTTTTTTTTTTTTAATTTTTTTTAATGTTTTATTTATTTCTAGGAGAGAGAGACAGCGTGAGCAGGGGAGGGTCAGAGAGAGAGGGAGTTACAGACTCTGAAACAAGCTCCAGGCTCTGAGCTGGCAGTCAGCACAGAGCCCGACGCGGGGCTCGAACCCACGAACCGCGAGATCATGACCCAAGCGAAAGTCGGACGCTTAACTGACTAAGCCACCCAGGCGCCCCTGTTACTGACTTGTTTTTAAGAGAACGGGTTATTTATTTATATCTGGATGTCTGATCGTTTCTTCATGATGACATTTAGCTTGTGTCTCTCTCCCCTGTGTTTCCTATAAACTAGATGATAGATTCATGCTTACCACCTTTGACAATCATATTTCGTAGTCAGTCCTGTCTACTTCATATTGTGCCACAGTGTTAGGATGTTCTCCCGTAAGCGTAGGATCAATGCAGCAACTTGAAAAGTGCAGGTAATTACAATTTTCTTCTTTCTGATGGACCGACGGGACAAATGTGAGCTATTTCCAATTACAAACGTTTTCTTGCTGGAATGATTGTGAGCTGTGCCTTGGCTGCACATGAAAAGTTGCAGCTATACGGGGCACCTGGGTGGCTCCATTGAGCGTCTGACTTGGGCTCAGGTCATGATCTCACGGTTTGTGGGTTCGAGCCCGCGTCGGGCTCTGTGCTGACAGCTCAGAGCCTGGAGCCTGTTTCAGATTCTGTGTCTCCCTCTCTCTCTGACCCTCTCCTGCTTAAGCTGTCTCTCTCTCAGAAATAAATAAAACATTAAAAATTTTTTAAAAAACTATACAGGTTATTGTATATATCAACAGTATGTTCCTTTTTATTGTTGAGTAGTTTTCCGTGCTATGGCTGATAGGGATGCACCATCTTGAGTCATTCCACTTGTCTAAGTATATCTGCGTGGTTTCCAGCTTGTGGCTGTCATGAAT